CTATCTATCTATCTATCTATCTCTATCCATCCATCCATCCATCCATCCATCTCTATACTGTGTTTCCCCAAAAATACAACCTACCCTGTAAACAAGCCCTAGACTAAAATGAAAAGGTTAGGTTAGGTTAGACTAGACTAGACTGAAGGAAGATGAATAGAATAGAATAATTAATACTAGAATAGAACAGAATGTAGAGTAGAATAGAGAATAGAATACAAAATAGAGAAGGGAAAGTAATAGAATAGAAATTAAGAATATAGAATAGAATAGAAAAGAAAAGAGAGAACAGAATAGAATGAGAGAATGGATTCACTTAACTGCCTTGCTTAGCAACAGAAATACTTGGGCTCAAGTGTGGTCGTAAGTCGAGGACCACCCATGGCCCAGATTCTAATTCCCAGGAGAGCCTCCTCCACCCCAAATATATCCAATAGATCCCGCGCTCCGAGAACAAGTAACCATCTTCTAGGACATTGTGGGGGGATTTTTAAAAAACGCAATGCTGCAGCAGGCTCAGACTCTAGTGGTGAGAGGCTTGTGCAAGCAGAGCACACCTGTGCTCACACCTGGGGAACCAGTGTGCCTGGAGGAAGTTTGCAGTTCCCAAAGACACCTGGCAGGTTTCTGCTATGGTTCAAATCCAGAGGATGGTGTTGTGGCCCGCCAGCAGCCAGCAGAGCAGAACTTGGAGAGTGAGGAAGTTGGGGAGGAACGTGGGGCAGTCCTGTAGTCTGGGGAAGTTTCGGTCGAGGGCTCTGTGTCGGAGGCAGGCAGTTTTTCATCCTCCCTAGGCTTCAGGAAGGGCAAAAAAAACCAGCCCCAATGAACTTCCAGTTGGCCCATTGGGCCTGTTTTTTTGCTCTCCCCAGCCTCCAGAGGCCTTCCTGAAGCCCGAGGAGGGGGAAAACGGCCTCCCCCAGCTATCTGGAAGGCCCAAAAATCAGCTGGCTGGTGCACGCATGCGCGCCGGAGCCGATGACTGGTGCGCCAGCAAATATGGCTCCGCATGCCACCTGTGGCACAGGTGCCGTAGGTTCACCATCGCAGGCTTATTAGGCTTTGTGAATGGATACTTTGTAAAGCCAGGAGACTCTATTCATAAACACAGGGCAGCCAGAGACTCAGAATAAGCAGCACAATAGGCAAGCAGCAGAAACTGACAAGATTAGCCCAGACAAACAAAACACCCATGATTTGCATTTCCCCCGCTTTTTGCCTGTAGAGCCAGCCATGACCCCGACACGACCCCATAGGAATCTGGCAACAGCCATGAAAATATGAAAGGACATTCCCCCCCCCCCCCCCCCAGAGGAACAAGCATCTCAATGACAAAGCCCCATAGAATGTATGAAAGCCCACGGACTCTCAGCCCCATTTTGTCAGCCACCCCCGGAAACATGTTGCTGTAGTTTCTGGCTACCAAATAAACATTTTTGAGACCTCCTTTCCAAAATGCAGCTTGCCGTCATTTTATTTCAGCGTCTTTCTGCCAGTTTGGAACTGGACCTGATGTTACTTCCAGCAAGTCCAACCCCCCGCTCAAACAGGAGACCCTATACCCATTTCAGGCAAATGTGATGGAACGCTTATGGTTTCTGGTGGAAAAGCTGTTCCATCTATCCATGTATCTGTCTGTCTGTGTATCTTATCCCTTTTTCTCTCTCTCATCCATCTATACATCCATCATATCAATCCATCATATGTATCTTATTGGTCTCATAGAATCATAGAGACCTAGGGCTGGAAGGGACCTTGGATGTCTTCTAGTCCAACCCCCTGCTCAAGCAGGAGACCCTAGACCCATTTCAGACAAATGGCTATCTAGTCTCTTCTTAAAAACCTCCAGAGATGGAGCACCCATGATTTCTGGTGGCAAGCTGTTCCACTGGTTGATTGTCTTCACTGTCAGGAAAGTTCTTCTAATGGTGATAATTAAAATTAACAGTAATAAACCCATGTGTTTTGTTAGGGGAGACATGATAGCAGTCTTCTAATATCTCAGGGGTTGCCACAAAGAAGAAGGAGTCAAGCTATTCTCCAAGGCACCTGAGGGCAGAACAAGAAACAATGGGTGGAAACTAATCAAGGAGAGAAGCAACTTAGAACTGAGGAAGAATTTCCTGACAGTCAGAACAAATAATTAGTGGAACAGAAGTTGCCTCCAGAAGTTGTGAATGCCCCAACACTGGAAGTCTTTAAGAAGATGTTGGATAGCCATTTGTATAAGGTTTCCTGCCTATGCAGGGGGTTGGACTAGAAGACCTCCAAGGTCCCTTCCAGCTCTGCTATTGTATTGTATTGTTTCCTGATTTCTCCCCCTCCCCTCTTTGGAGCAAACCATTCTCAATCTTTTTTTTTGGGGGGGGGGATGTCATCCATTTTTACCTCTCAAACAGCCGGGAGTAGGAGGAGATGGTTTTGCCCGTCAGACCCTGCTTGGCCAAACGCTGCCTTCGATGGAGGGACGCCTCTTCCTGGAGATGGAACACAATCAGCNCATGACCGCTGTCTCAAGGCTAGGGCTTCAGCCAGACGGTCGAGGCGTAGGTTTCTGGGGTGGCCGCTTTGGGCTTCTTCCGGCCGGAGGGGATGGGCGGAAGGACCGGCTTGGTGTTGGATCCTGGACGGACAGTGACCGTTGGGGGGAGGTGGGGGGAGGGGGCTTTGTGCTTGGGCGTCTTCTTCTCCTTGGTGTCCGCAGGACGGTCAGCGGCCTCTGTCCAAGAGAAGAAGGGGATTGGGGGTCTGCTTGGAGAAAGTGTCCGTGTGACTTTCCTTTTTCTATCTTTTCTGCTTCCTTTTCTTTTTCCTTTCCTTCCTCCACCTCCCTTTTTCCTTTTCCTTCCATTTCCTTTTCCTTCCTTTCCTTCCATTTCCTTTTTCCTTCCTTCCTTCTATTTCCTTTTTCCTTTTCTTTCCTTCCTTCTATTTCCTTTTTCCTTTTCCTTCCTTCCTTTCCTTCCATTTCCTTTTTCCTTTTCCTTCCTTCCTATTTCCTATTTCCTTTTCCTTCCTTCCTTTCCTTCCTTCTATTTCCTTTTCCTTCCTTCCTTCCTTCTATTTCCTTTTTCATTTTCTTTCTTTCCTTCCTTCCCTTTTTCTTTTCTTCCTTCCCTTTCCTTTTCCCCCTCCCTTCCTTTTCCTTCCTTCCTTCTCTTTTCTCTTCTTTCCTTCCTTCCTTCCCCCCTTTCCTTTTTCTTTTCTTCCTTCCCTTTCCTCTTTTTTCCCGCCCTCCCTGATGCGTATCCAAAGCACCCACCGTGCCAGCTCCTTTTCTCATCGGCGACTTCCGCCACCAGCGTGGGGATGGACCTGGAGGAGCGGCTGAGAGAGGCGCTGGGGGAAAGAGGCGCTCCTGCACCGCTGGGCTTTTTGGCTGGTTGACCCGATTCCCTGAGGGAAGGAAAGGAGGAGGAGGAGGAGGAGGAGGTCAAGGCCCAGGAACGCTAAGCTGCAACCCACCCAGAGAAGTCACGTTTAGGTGGGCTCCACCAGTTCTCTGCCCACTCAGAGGCCCTTCCTGGGCACCGTGTCTTCTTGACAGAGAGATGGGGGCATTCCTTGCATGGGGATGATGGGTCTGGTCTGGTAGGGCTCCAGGTTCAGGAGGTCTAATCACAAGCCCTGACGTCTCAGCCGTGGGCTGTGGAGGTCTTCTACTCTGCCACTTGGATGGCACCAAGAGTTCTAGATCCTGGAGTCGTCATGGGCACCCTTCATCAGTTGCGCAGTTGGGTGTCAGGGTGGGCTGGCCGTCTTCCCAATAAGAGCGATGGGGGCATTCCCTGACTGGGGATCATGGGCCTTGTAGTCTGAGGTATCTTTAGGGCTCCAGACCGGGGAGGTCTAATCAGAAGGCCTGGTGTTCTGGAGAAGGTCCCCAGAAGGAATCCGCGACTCTACTCACCTGCGGTCAGGGGTGGTGGGTACGATGGAGGCGCTGGTGCTCCCACTGTGCCTGAAGGAGGCAAACGACGGGGGCTCCAAAAAATGACCATGCATGGTGGTGGGGCCTGAAATTCGGAGGGCGTCCCTGGAATGAATCAGAAAGAGCCACCGCTGGTTCTGCAGAGTCGGTCCAATTTGTGCAGCTCTGAGATCCTTTTTTGGTTTTCTGGTTATGCAAATTCTATTTCTTCAACTGTTTTTCCTTTGGGTGGAACCAGCCTATCCATCCATGCAACTCTATCATCTATCTAACATCCATCCATCCATATCTGTCAGTCTGTCTGTCTGTCTGTCTGTCTGTCTGTCTGTCTATCTATCTATCTATCTATCTATCTATCTATCTATCTATCTATCTATCTATCTATCTATCTATCT